GGGCTCGCACCTCAACCTCTCACAGACCAGCGCACAGCGCCATACGAGGTATTGACCGCGCAAGATATAAAGGGTGTCCTAAGAGCTCTGCTCGCAAGGCGCCCGCGTCGCAGACGCGGTACCATTGACAAATCTGCAATATACCCCCACACGAACAAATAGCAAAATCCGAATACCGTGCACGAACTGGGCGATGTGGGCCGTGCAAGCCTTCAGCTGGGAGAGAGTTTTTGTTCAGCTGGTGCCAAGACATCTACTCGTAAAGATATAAGGGCCTCGCGTGTCCGCCATTTATCCCCGTGACCCCCAAAACTCGTGATACCCGTACCCGACGAGTCTCGAGCTTCAGCTGGTCTAACCATCATGCCGCTCTCGGCACCGCAGCGGCGCGAGCGCCGCGCCGCGCAGCGCGCTGCCGAGGCTCAGGACGCGGCTCGCGGGCAGCGCAACCGCCCGGCGCCGAGCCGGTGCTAGGCCGCCTCCGCTGCGCCTGCTTCCTTGCGCGCCGCTGGACGTCGGCCGAGAAGACCGCTTCCCTCTGGGGACCCGACTCCGCGAAGATCGCGCGCGCGTCGTGAGTGGCGGCGCGCGCGCGATCTCCGTTCCCGGGCACGCCGGTCGCAGTGGCATGGGCTCCCAGGCTCAAAAGCGCTCCCGTCAACAGCGAGCGAGCGCCGCCGCTGCTCCTCCTCCCGCCGCCGCTGCTCCTCCTCCCGCCGCCGCTCACCGAGACCCGCCGCCGCCGCTCGCCGCCGCCGCCGCCGCCGCCGCCGCCGCCTCGCGCCTCGCCTCCGTCACCGCCGCCCTCCATCTCGCAGCGGCGCGTCCCTCTGATGGCGCGGGCGCCTCGCTCACCGGCGCCTCGCCGCCGCCCCCCCCCCTTCTCGCGCCGCTCCGCTCGTGGCCGCCGCCTCCCCTGTCAATCCCGCCGCCTCCCCTGTCATCCCGCCGCCCGCACCACCGCCGCCACCGCCTCGCGCCTCGCCGCCGCCGCCACCGACCGCCCTCCCCCCTGCGCCGCTGAGAGCGCGGTGCAGGGGGTGAGCCCCCGCTGCGCAGCCTCACCGTAGTGCACTGCGCTCTCCGCGCCCCTGACGATTAGTGAGGAGGTGGTGTTGCACTGCATGGAGCTCGGCGAGCGTTTAGCGAGCCCCTCAGCTAGTAGAGGGAAGAAGGGAGCGAGGGGCTGGGGCGTTTCGTTCTAAATTTGATGAGAGGACTAGCACTCACCGCCCGCACACTGCCGCCCATCCCTCCAAACGGGCTTCTTGGGTGGAAAGAGATGCCACCGGCGGCTTGCCCGCGGTTACTCAAAGCGGTCTGGTTCTCATAACAAGTGTGAATGTGCGTCTTGGGTCGTGTAGAGTAGAATGCCGGCGCTTCCGCGTTCGTTGTGTCCAATCCTGGCCTGGCCTTTCGAGTGCAGGGTGGGCTGCGCTGCGGTCGTGAGGTTGCACGGCACCAGCGATCGCAGACTCTCCCCTCATGCCTCTGCTCCAGCTGGTCCGGCACGCCGAGTCGGCCAACAACGCGCTCTACAACGAGATCATCTCCGAGTGTGGTGGAGCCGCGGCGGTGGCCTCCGACCCGAGCCTGCAGCGGCGCGTCGACGAGGAGGAGGCAAGGCGGCGGTCGAGCGACCCGCCACTCTCCGCGCGTGGCCTCGAGCAGGCTGCGCGGGTCGGTGAGCACCTCGCGGGAGAGAATCTCGACTGCGCATCGACGCTGCTGGTCTGCTCGCCGATGCGTCGGGCCCTGCTCACCGCCGCGCCGATTGCCCGCGGGCTCAAGGGTGCTGGTGTCGCCAACCTGCGCGTGGAGTGTCATGCGCAGTACTTTGAGGCTGGCGGCTGCCACGAAGGCGGCCGAGCGTTGCCCGGCCGCACGTTCCAACAGATCTGCGGCGATCACCCGCTGGATTTCGATGCGGCCGAGTGCTTTCCATCGCCAGACCGTGGCTGGTACTCGGCTGCCGGCGCGCCAGAATCCGACGCGCAACCGCGAGCGGAGCGCATGTGCCTGTGGATCACCGAGCGGCTCGCGGCGCTGCCCGACACAGGACGCGTCATCATGGTTGGCCACGGCGCCTTCATGGCGCGGCTGCTCGCCCGCCTC